AACTAACCAATCAGAATAATTAAAGGTATCGTACGATTCTATATATATATCTATGTTATCATGACATGTGTTGCAGCCGCAGTAAGACTCTGGAACATTCCAAGTGTGTCGCTTGGCATTAGGTCATCGAGTTCAGCATTATCCGATAAGTCACATGATTCAGGTAATTCTGTAATGGTCGCAATAATAGGAACTTCTTCTACAGTAAATGTATTCTTAGGAACAGGTGTTGTGACTGGGCACTTAAAGGACTTAGAATATAGGAATGAATAATGGTTTGTATTTGGAACTCGTGACACATATTTTATGCCAATAGAAATATTTTGATGTGTGTGAGTCTGGCTCACAAGTGGGCTCTGGTGCCTCTCATATAAAACAATAGTCTGAAGATTCTAGCTATATATCAGATACATACAAATGTAACTTCACTTACCTTGGTTCTAGGAGCCTCAACCAGGAGCTTGAAGCAATAGTAACTCCATGCTGGAAGTACACCATCAATTTCCAGGAAAATTGTGTCTCCACAAACACTGATGGTGTCAGTCTTATTAATAATAGAGTTCATAATGATGGGTGAAATGAAAGACTAGCTATACTGTAGATGAAATGAAGGAATGCACCAATATATTACATGCCAGGCTTGGAGCTTTTGAAAAATATCAGTGAACTTTGAACTTGATATTATGGGTGTCATTGTATTTTGTATGCACAAGTCCTTCTTCTCTATCTACCAAAATATTTGAGGGCAGCCATTATTCTAACGGTGACCAGTTATTTTCAGTTGCCAATGGGTCAAATAATCTACATTAGGGGACTATATCAGTCCTCTGGGACCATTCTCCTATCTTCTGGTTAGATATTATTACCAGAAGTGTCATATCCCATATATTCACGCTTCTCTTCCGGACTTCGGACCCTGAGATCCGATCTGGTCCGATGTATAGATCCGCTTCCGATCCGATTTATGATAAGCTTTCTAATTCATTTCCTGTTCATATAACGTTAAACACAGCCTATTCGGTATTTCCTCTTCCCGGTGTTTCGGTTATACTTATTACCAGTATGCTTACTGATCCGTTAACCTATGTCTCATTTCCGACTCGCGTTTGATAACCTTTGCACATGCTTCATACATAGCCTCGGACCTTTGCTTACTGATACTTCCGTTATCCTCATAGTATATAAACTCGTGTATATGTCCTGTAGTACCTCAGTTCGAATATCATCTTAGTTTGTCCTCTTTCTGTCCTCCAGACTTGAGTCCTTCTTACTCTTGTCACCCTCCGAGACTTCGGATAGATTCCGATAGTCTATATCCTCGGCTCTACCTTCGGGTAGTCTTTACTCTGTTAGTTTCTAGTTTGGATACGTCCGGATTAGCCTTATACGCGTTTCCGATATCCGGAAGACATCCGGATATACTATGAGACCCGTCCGGACCTTTGGACACGTTATCGTTAGTACTTTGAAATAAGGGACAGTACTTGGGAAAGGGGCACAGCATACGAGCTGAGGCCGAAGTCCTTCGGATCCGACCCTACGAGAGTACAACCTTAACAAGAAGACTCATTTATGGATTCTGCCCCACAACAACTCCCACCGTCAAATATTAATATGTACTTGTAGTGTCATATTCCATATATTCACACTTCTCTTCTGAACTTTGAACCCTAGATCTAATCTGGTCCAATGTATAGATCCACTTCCGATCTGATTTACAATAAGCTTCTTAATTCATTTCCTGTTCCCAGTATCTCAGTTATACTTACTACTGGTATGCTTACTAATCCATTAACCTATGTTTCATTTCCAACTTATGTTTGATAAACTTTGCATACACTTTGTACATAGTGTCAGACCCTTGCTTATTGATCCTTCTGTTATTCTCTTAGTATATAAACTCTTGTAGATGTCCTGTAGTACCTCAGTTCGAATATGATCTTATTTTGTCCTCTTTCTGTCCTCTAGACTTGAATCTATTCAGCTTTTATCAATTTTTGAGACTTTGGATCGATTCTAATAGTCTATACTCTGTTTGTTTTTAGTTTAGACTTGTCCAGATTAGTCTTATATGTATTTCTGATATCCAGAAGTCTTCCAGATAATACTATGAGACCTGTCCAACCCTCTAGATGTGTATCATTAGTCCCTGAAATAAGGAACAGTACTTGGGAAAGAGGCATAGCATACGAGCTAAGGCCAAAGTCCTTCAGATCCAATCCTACTAGAGTATGACTTTAACATGCAGGTGAGTCATTTCTGATTATGTTATATTCATAGAAGAACATTTTAGGGTGCATATATGCATAAATATTCACAAATCTTGGCATTGCAAGAATACTGCAAGGCACTCAAGCAGCAAGTACTTAAGCTAACTACAGAATGTAATACCATGAGTGAGTTTTTATTTTCATAGTTGCATGGCTAATTTGACTTTTATTGCACATGGAAGGGCAATATTCCAACAACTTGCAAATGCTGTCTGTCTCCCATATATAGATCCACTCAAACTCAAGCCTGCTTCACTGGTCCCTCTCCTAACAACTACTAACACCTCAGGTCCACACCCTAACTCTAAAACACACTCAAATGTTCAATTTTGAAATCAAAAGGACTTCTTTAATTGGTTAGATAAGGTTGAACTTGATGGTCACAGAAAGTTGGCTTATTTTGAGGATGAAGATGGGAATACTCTTTCAGAATCAACAGTAAAAGGAGCACAGAAAGTCATCTACAGCAGCTATTATGAGCTAACAAATGTAGTCTTGCTCTGAAGTTATAGGGCAAACTGTGCACAACCAAAAGACATCTTTTTCATAGCATCATTGAAAATGCTTACCTGTTTTTCAAATTGGCCAATGACAGTTGGAAACTAGACCATCTTGCTGGCACATTATACTCTGCATGGCACCAAATTCATCTGGATGATAAGGGTAACTGAAAGTCAAAGAAGGGTAGTGATAAAAGTGATGAGGAGAATGGTGACTTGCATAAATGCAAGAAAGGCAAGCAATTATCAGACTCCATACAGTCTGAAGTAAAGAGATGTCACAATTCCTTAAACAAATTAATGCAGGGCAGAGACTAGGACTCAAACAAAGGTTATAACAACAGAGAGAGATGACAGCAGATACATCTTAGATTGCTCACTTGGAGATACAAAAGGTTTTAACTAAAGAACTATTGACTACAACTAACTACCTATATATGTATATTGAAAGTAAGTATGGACTAACTCCCAATCAGAATAATTGAAGGTATTGTACAATTCTATATATAATTATAATATCATAATATGTGTTACAGCTGCAGCAAAACTCTAGAACATTCCAAGGGTACTATGTGGTATAAAGTCATCAGGTTTGGTATCTTCCAATAAGTCAGTGATTTTAGTAATTCTACAATAGACACAATAATAAGAACTTCTTTGACAGTAAATGTATTCTTGGAAACAGTATTACAGTTAACATTGCTTACATCAGCCCTTGCTCTGCTATCACTCATTTTCCCTAATCCCACCCTACCAGCATATGATACTGCTGTCTATTTGTCTCTATAAAACTAGTACAGACCTAGACCAACCTAGACCAACTGCTGTGACATAGCCTTAAGCCTGGAAGGCCTCCCAATCTTCATTTAGAGACCATCAGACCCAGAGCATCTCATGCTACCTCCTAGCACTCTTTCTGAGAACTAGACTGATGCATCCATCTCATATATCAATAACTCAGAGGCTGAACCCACCTCATGTACTTATTTTGACATAGAAGCCCACCCTATGGCATTTTATCTTTGACTCAGATAGATCCATAGATACAGGCTCCTACCAAACCTTATAGGATACACCTATATAGCTTAGACACATATCATTGTATTCCTTACTTTGATATACTTAGTTTTTCATCAGAACTCCTTTCAGAGTGACCTCCAGTCCCTCTATCCTCACTGCACTTCTAAGGTAAGCTGACACTACCTTAGCTATACATCTGTTAGCCCTACAGCTTAATGAGCCACTGTGCTTATCAAGCTTGTTGGAGGATACCTTGTACCTTATATGAGCTAGAACCTGTCCTTCTGTCTACTTGTGATTGCTAGACAATTAGCCATTCAGCTAAAGAAGGCTCAACCTATCCAAGTCATAATAAATGGGCGCTATAACTGGGCACTTAAAGAATTTAGAATATAAAAACAAATAATGGTTTGTATTTGGAATTCATGACAAGAGACTGAAAGGTTTGTTTCTTGCTTTGATTTCGTATCTTACTGACATTGTTCTGTACTAGTTGACATCATGAGCCCATCACTTCCTTCTCCAACCCTTCACCAATAGAGCTACCTATGGGAGCTCCACCTGTCCAGGTTGCAGTTTTTTTTTCTACTCTACCTCCAGTGATACCTTCTCCAATGTCTACCTTATCCTCAACTGTCTTGCCTTTCATAAGCTCACTTTGTGAAAAAGATAAGATACTGTTGCCACCACCACAAACTCCTGCACCTATAATGATACTATGTTTAACTACTAATTTGCAGCTGGCATCTCTTGAGTTATCACTGTCAATCTCTCTTGCAAAGTCTTATATCAATGAGGAGGATATCCCTATCAAGACTCACATTATCTGTTATAATTCTAATTTTTCACCTCTTTATGTTGTCATATATGCTTACTCATTCATTCCATAATATTCTATTACATTCTATCATACAATCTCCTTTCTCTTTTTCCTATTCGCTACTCATATTCAGACTCCTCTTTGATATTCCTATATATACCTTACTCTTTACACTTTGTATCTTTAACTTGACCTATACAGACCAGGGCCTGCTACTTGTATTCAGAACATTGACATTAAACTCTAATCCTTGAAACATAAAGACATCTAAATAATGCCAAGCATAACATTGCCTCACCCAAGACCTATGAAAATTACTATTGCCAATCCTCTGTAAGCTACACAGTTCATGTATTTATTTGATGCTAAATACATCTATTAGTTCAGCACTCACTTTAGCTGCTGAAAATATGAACCTACCCCCCCCCCTCTTAAGCCAGATGTAGAGAACTCCACAAAAACTTCCAGCATTAAGACAGGTACCATCGACCATGCTCCCAAAGCTACTGCCACTGGCAGCAAGGTGAAATCTGGAGGAAAAGTGGTCAAGATGCATCCAAGTGCTACAAGGAATGGTCAGCAAGTTGAACACTATTTCTCAGATGGCAGCTCTTCTTACTATTTAACTCAGAAATAGGAACTTATGTGCACATTATTGGCTTAATTGCTTCTTGGACCCGTACCAAGTTGCACCCCAACTAGGATCCTGGACAAACCTCAAGTCAACTCTGCGCCCAACAGCATCACAATTAGATTCTTACACCTTTTCTCTTCTTACTTTCCCTTACAGCTGAACAAACTAATAGAAACTTACAGAAAACACCCAAGTAATGGCTCCAAGCGGCACAACAAGCTCAACCCCCACGGCTCCCACAGTTGGAATAACAATACGAACAAGCTGCAAAACCACAGCAAGCAAACCTTTCCTAACATTCAGCAAAAGCCTGGAGAACTATGCCAAGAAAACTGGAATATGCACAGATATCAATAGTACAACCTCAGCAAGAAAACTACTCATTACTCACAGTCTGGCTCTTCCAGCAGCAGGAAACATCTTCAAGGAAATAATATCAGCACTGTTCAAACTTAGTCTCACTCCTAACACAGATGTCACCCACACGGAGATACTAAGAGTGTTAGCCTTCCTACTCCATGAAGCCAGCCATGCGTGTGACATAGAGTGCATGTTGAACAAGATCAAATTGTTAGTCAAAGGCCCAATAGTGTCCCTTGAAATGAATGTCACAATGTTAATGGAACTAGCAACAATGCACAGGATGACAATGGAAGAAACATCAACAGAGGTGCATGATCACTTGAACCTGACTCCAGAAGGAATAGAAAAGGCGGTGGTTGCGGCCTTACAAAAATCCAACCAATGAACCCAGAACCAGAACATGGCAAGGGAGTCTGACAGACCACTAACTTATGCAGAAGCCACCAAGGCAGACTGTTACGATGTTAGTCGCGTGCGGACTGTGATAATCTAACAGCGACGATCACGACAGTGATACCTCGTGCTGAGAGTCCAAGGTCGGCTCCTACAGACAAGCAGGAGTTGCATACGCTAGCGGAGGCGAGTGATGATAGCAGTTACAGGCAGAAGGGGTCTCAAGTCCTTCTGAAGGTGTGGATCGGATATCGAGCAAGTAGCTTTAGCAAGACAAGGAGTTCAAGGTAAAACCCAGTAAGATTAAAGTAAGGAACATCTACTTTAATCTATTGACCTTATATAAGGCTACTCTATCGTATCTAAGCTCAGCTTGAAGCTGGGTTCTAAGTGCTTATCTATCGAGTCAGAGATACCATGCATGAGGCAGGCTTCTATCTATGATAAGGACATGTGGTCATCCTTCTATCAGTACATGAGGCAACCATGAGGCTTGCCTTCTATCTTGATAACATAAATAGGTCTTCTAGACCTATGTCGTCATAATCATGTAAGCGATCCAGACCGCTTATCTAATCCGGCATCTTCCAGGCTTCTCTTCTATTTGTTATCTGTCGTCAAGACCTAAAGGTCTGGGTATTGTGTTGTTGCCGTGCAAGGTGGCAGAGGGCATATCTGTAGCTGGGGGCTCACGTCATGTTACTGTAACACAGACATGCTCATTCAACTAACCAGAATCCTAGCATGCAGTGAAGCCCAATCATGTCAAATCCTCATCAACAGAAGATCTTTACTCTCACCCAATTCTCTCAAGGACTTAATGGAGGCCCAACTAGTTTCCAAAGCAACAATGGCCCTGGAACTAATGGAACAGTAAAACATAGCACGCCCAAAGGACCTGATGTTTATATCCGCAAGACAACTTTCACACAGTAGGGTACTGTATGAACTAAATTCAAAAACCTTGGCAGAGTGGTTCAACACTGTGGCCAACAAGAGTAATTTTTTAGAATTCTTCAGTACTAACATTGTAATCAAGGACAGATTGTACCACATCCTGATGGAAAATGTCTCAGACAACCCTGCAGCAGTCGCAGATATAGAAAAGAAGGCTGGACTCCCACCAAGGACAATCACCAAGACCAGGTACATTAAGCTGATATGTTAAGGTCATACTCTTGTAGGGTTGGATCTGAAGGACTTTGGCCTCAGCTCATATGCTGTGCCCCTTTCCCAAGTACTGTCCCTTATTTCAGATACTAACAATAACACGTCCAAAGGTCTGGACGAGTCTCGTAGTAATATCTGGATGACTTCCAGATATCAGAAACACACATAAGACTAATCCAGACAAGTCCGAACTAGAAACTAACAGAGTATAGAGCCCCTGAAGGTAGAGCCAAGGATATAGACTATCAGAATTGATCTGAAGTCTTGGAGGTTGACAAAAGTTGAATAGACTCAAGTCCAGAGGAAAGAAAGAGGACAAACTAAGATGATATTCAAACTGAGGTACTACAGGACATATACACAAATTTATATACTAAGAGGATAACAGAAGGATCAGTAAGCATACCAGTAATAAGTATAACTGAGATACCAGGAAGAGGAAATACTGAATAGGCTGTGTTTAACATTATATGAACAGGAAATGAATTAAGAAGCTTATCGTAAATCAGATCAGAAGTGGATCTATGCATCAGACCGAATCAGATCTAAGGGTCTGAAGTCCGGAAGAGAAGCATGAATATATGGGATATGACATGATAGCAAGATGCAACCTAGACCAATGCATGGTGCATGTGGCCATGATATTCACTACCAAAGAAGGTGCCAACCAGGCGCTCAAATTTGGTCTGGCAATAGCAGGGAAAAAGGTATATGGCTGAAAGCTACTACTAGAACCAACAAGGTGCCTCAAATGCCAGTCCTTTGCCGGCAACCATGTTGCAGCAGAATGTCCGCAGGAACAGGATATGTGTGGCACATGCAGAGAACAGCACCACACACAAACATGTGAAGCAACAGACTCTACACTCCACACATGCACCAACTATAAAGAGAAGGGTCATGCTGCTTGGAGCAGGGACTGCCCCATCTTCAACAGGAAATGGGAAATCTTCAAGAGGAAGAACGATGAGGCCAAGTACATCTACCTCCTAACTGATGACCCACTGACCTGGGAAACTGTTCCTGATGCTAACACGGACTGGTCAAACACCCCAACCCTGAACCTCACTGATCAACTCCAACTCCCACAGCAGAATGAGAGACATCCGCCACCTCAGCACAATCAGCAAGAATGGCAAACAGCTGGAACCCACCAATGGCAACACCAACAATCCCGCAATGATAAGAATCCAAACAACATCCCACTATGCCCAAGAACTCAGACTCAACTTACTGACGCATGGACAAGCCAACAGCAACAGGACTCCTCTCTTCCACCCCCACCAATGCATGACTCCACCAGATACTGGTCTGCATCGCCCTCAATCTATGATATACTAATCTCCGACAGCTCGCAAATCACCAAAAGATGGAACTAATGCCTGGCACACCAAACAAAACCCCCCCAAGACAAGACTTTAGGATCTGGCAGCAAAACCTAAGGAAATCATCCCACACATGAGAGCACATGCTACAGAGCTTGAACCTGGACAAATTCAACCTAGCAAATGAACTCAAGTTATCATCCTCATAAATAAACACCTCTCGAAAAATAACTGGCACATAGTACCCATCAAATCACCCAACATAATGGCCCTTGAATTCACAGGACCGTTCAGAAAGGTGTGTGTATACAACATATATAACCCATGTGATAGCAACCATACTGTACACTTCCTGGAGAGACACATGCTCTCCCAATGTAACATAAGATGCACCGCTCAAGGCAGACAGAACCACACTCACGAATATTTGATTTGGCTAGGTGATTTCAACCGACACCACCCAATGTGGGAGATGCCCCATAACACCCATCTCTTTACCACAGCCAACTTAGATGCTATGGGACTGTTAATAAACCTAATTGCTACATACAACCTTGTACAAATCCTACCCCCGGTGGTCGCTATCTTAGAAGTGTCCAATACCAAAAATCTAACTTGCCCAGACCATGTCTTTTGTACCTCAGAGCTAGTAGACGCAGTGGAACACTGCAAGGTAGAGCACCAACTGAGACCCATAATAATTGACCACTTTCTGATTATTAGCTCCTTTGATCTTTGCCCAGAACGCTCCCTGCTGCCACCCAAACTCAATTACCGACAGACATCATGGGAGGACTTCAACACACAACTGACCACTCAACTCAACAGCATCCCCCCACCGATGGAAATTACAACGCCAGCCCAGTTCCATCAAGCATTCAATGATCTCACCATGGCAATAGAGGAAACAACCAATAAGAGCATCCCCAAGACAAAACCCTCTCCCTACTCAAAACACTGGTGGTCCAAAGACTTAGATATAGAATGCAAGGCAGTCCACAAGCTGGCCCACAAGACCCATGCCAGACTGGCCAGCAGGAGGGACCCTATCCACGAGGAATACCAGATAGCAAGGAACAAGTTCTTAGAATGCATCAAAAGGGCAAAAGAGGGACACTGGAAGGAATGGCTCAAAGTGCTAACACTATCGGACATGTGGTCTTTTCATAGGTACGCAGCAAGTAACCTAACAGATCAAATCCATACATGTATCAAGACTCTTCAAGACCCGACTGTGGCTCCTGGGACCACAATGCAAGATAATGCTCAAAAGAGCCAGCTACTCTATGATGTATTCTTCTGCCTGCCCCCAGCCAATGAAGACCCAGACGAAGACCACATATAACCCCCCGGTAAGTGAATTCACCCTAATTACTGACTAATAGATCAACAGAGCAATCACCCACCTCTCTCCATATAAGGTGCCAGGTCCAAATGGCATCAGCAATGTAGTATTCAAGCAAAGTGCGCACCTACTAGTCTCCTTCATGGCACCCATCTTCTGTGCAACTTTCTCATTAGGCATCTACCTGTTATGACTTGGATATGTTGAGCCTCCCGATGCTGAATGGCAGGTCTCTAAGTGATCTCATGAAGATGGAAGGACAGTGGTCTTAGCCTTGGATGAAGCCCAAGGGTTTCTCCGACAAGCTTGGTAAGTGCAGCAGCTCGTCAAGCTGTGGTGCTAATGGATATACGGCTAAGGTAGCATCGGCTTGCCTTAGAAGTGTGGTCAAGACAGAGGGACTGGGGTCACTCTGAAAGAATGAACAAGTACTGGGATTGTACTAGTTTCTAGGGGATACCAAGTAAATCAAAGTAAGGAATACAATGATATCTATCTAGTTTATATAGAGTCTGTCCTACATAGTTCAGGAGGAGTTCGTATCTGTGGATCTATCTGAGTCAGAGATAAGATCCATGAGGCGCCTCTTCTATGTCAAGATATGTACATGAGGCACTCCGGCCTCTGAGTCTATAAACACATGGTGCAATATGTGTTGGTCTGCTTCTACATGAGGTATACAGCCATCATGATGGGATCGGGAGGCCTTCCAGGCCATAGTGAGGTCATAGCAGTTCCAGACCGCTGTCAGTCAGGACCTAGGCTAGGTCTGGCAATGTTATTGTAACACTACCCAGACGCCTGGAAACAATCAACGACAATTG